AAATGATAAATATCAATAACACGATTCTTTTTCTTAGCTTTCACATTGTTATTTTCAATTCTCGAATATATTCGAGTGTGAAAAATTATAGCAGCATCAAATACAACGCCGCTCGAATTATCTCGAGTGTGCACAGTTTGGCCTGTTTAGCGCGCTCGAATTAACTCGAGCGTGCAAGTTAAGGGGTTAATGATCTATGCCACCTTTCAACCATGCCATTGGATGCTGGGTGGTAAGCTGTGGTATGAATGTGCTTACAACCGATTAATTTGGCTATTGATTTAAAAAGTTGTGCTTCGAATTGTGCACCACGGTCAGTGGTGATGGTGGCTGGGGCACCAAATCTGGCGATCCAGGTGGCATAGAACTTTATGATGCATCGGTCATTCGAACTGCCTCGGGCCACCGTGAGAATCTGTCAGTCATGGTCAGGCAGTATCTGTATCCGTCGATTGATGGAAGTGGTCCTACAATGTCGATGTGAATGTGATGGAATCTTTTCCTCCGGAACAGCAATACTAAGTGGTCGGTTTACTACATGCCTGGCTACCTTGCTTCGTTGGACTGCCTCGGGCCACCGTGAGAATCTGTCAATCATGGTCAGGCAGTATCTGTATCCGTCGATTGATGGAAGTGGTCCTACAATGTCGATGTGAATGTGATGGAATCTTTCCTCCGGAACAGCAATACTAAGTGGTCGGTTTACTACATGCCTGGCTACCTTGCTTCGTTGGCAACGTAGCCAGGTTTTAGCCCAACGCGTTATGTCGGCATTCATTTTTGGCCAAACAAACTTTTTGGCCATCAGTTTTTTTGTGGTACGGCCACTTGGATGGGAGAGCCCGTGGACGATGTCAAATATTTCCCTCCTCAGCGCTGCTGAGATATATGGTCTAATGAACTCTGTGGAAATATCACAGTATATGACTGCTTCTGTTTCGTCAACCCTTAATTGCTTGAGGTTTAGTGCTGTACTCCCTTGTAGGATCTGACGGAGTTCAGAGTCCTCTTTCTGTTGTTCGGCTATTTCTTGTGTGCTCACCACGACTGGCATGCTGATAACGTCCAGCCGTGATAGAGCGTCAGCCATGTCATTACAGGATCCTGGAATGTGGGTTATATTTGTACTGAACTGTCCTATATAGTCAAGTTGACGTAATTGTCTGGGTGAAGCCTTGTCTGATTTTTGGAGGAAAGCGTATGTAAGGGGTTTGTGGTCTGTCTGTATGCAGAAGTCTCGTCCTTCAATGAAATGTTTAAAATGTTTTACAGCTTTAAAAATAGCAGTCAGTTCCCTGTCATACGTACTGTAGCGTTGTTCTGTCTGAGAAAATTTTTTTGAATAGAAACCAAGGGGTTCCCACATTCCATTCACTTCCTGTTGGAGTACAGCTCCCATTGCCGAATCAGAAGCGTCTGTAACTAGAAGTAAAGATGCGTTAATTTTGGGATGCACCAGCAGCGCTGCGGTTGCCAGTGAATTTTTGCACTTTTCGAACGCTTTTTCAGCCTCGCTGGTCCATTCGATACGCCGTTTATCGCGTTTCTTGGCGCCCTCTAAATACTTATTTAACGGCGCCTGAATTGAGGCGGCGTTTTTGACGAAACGCCGATAAAAATTGATGACGCCGAGGAAGCAGCGTAAGTCCTCAATGGTCGCGGGTTTGGTGTATTCGTTTATTGCTCGTACTTTCTCCGGTACAGGCCTGGCTCCCTTGGAGTCGATCAGGTACCCCAGGTACTGTACCGATGGAGAACCAAATGAGCATTTTGCTGAATTAATGGCGATGCCATGTTCTTGTAGTCGATGGAGGACCTGGCTGACGTGCTCTTTATGCTCTAGTTCACTGGCGGAAGCTATTAGGACGTCGTCCACGTAGCAGAAAGCGAAGCCTAACCCTCGGAGTACCGCGTCCATGAATCTCTGGAAGCTCTGTGCGGCATTTTTGAGGCCGAAGGTCATGACGTTATATTCGAATAAGCCGAATGGTGTGATGATTGCTGTCTTTTCCCGGTCTTCTGGTGCCATGGGTATCTGATGGTATGCTTTTTCCAAATCTAGTGTCGTAAAAACTGTCATTCCGTCTAGGCTGTGTGCAAAGTCTTGTATGTGAGGGATGGGATATTTATCAGGGACTGTCATGCTGTTAAGACGTCTATAGTCACCACATAACCACCAATCGCCATTCTTTTTGCGCACCATGTGCAGAGGGCTGGCCCAGGGGCTACTAGAAGGGCGACAAATCCCCTGGGCGATGAGGTGATTAATTTCTGCTTGTGCTGCCTTCAGCTTTTCTGGAGGCAGCCTACGAGCTCGCTCAGCCCATGGTGCACCATGGGTGGTTATGTGGTGTTGTACTCTATGTTTAGGTACGTCGCGTCGTTGTACAGTACGCGTAACGTCTATGTATTCTTTCAAAATTTTGTTGTATGGGTTATTATTGCAAACTGTGGTGAGTGATGTCTGTCCAAAGGTACTAACCTGTCCAATAGTATGTAAGTTGGTCAGTCCGTCAATTAATTTTTTGTTTCTGAGGTCCACCAGAAGACCGTATTTTTTTAAAAAATCTGCGCCGATGATTGGTTGTTGGACCTTGGCCACGATGAACTCCCAGGAAAATGGACGCCGTAGTCCGAGGTTCAGCGTTAGTTTGGTTGTCCCAAACGTTTCAATGGCCGTACCATTAGCCGCGTAGATTTTGTACTCTGTAGGAGCGGATCCTCTTGTCGCCGATCTAAGCGGCAACACGGAGATGTCCGCTCCGGTATCTATTAGAAAACTTAAATTATTAGTTTTGTCATAAATAATAAGACGGCTATTCGTGGCCCGGTCATCCGATGCCGTCGCAATTCGGGAAGGCGCTCCTAGTTTTCCTGCTGCTTGGGTTGGGGTATGGGTGGTCCTGTCCAGGTGCATGGCAGGATGCAGCGGTGGGCCTTGTCAGCGAAGCGGTGGTGGTAGAAGCAGAGACCGTTTTTCCCGTCTCTGGATCGGGAGCGGTGGGGGAACTTGCCGTCCCTCGAGCGGCCTCGTCGCCTCCATGTTGGCCTTGCTTGCTGCTCCGAGCGGCTCATCCTAGTGGTGAGCATTTCCACCATCCTGGCCAGCTTCTCTACCTGGGACTGGAGTGCGTCCGTACTCTCGGGCGGTGCTCTTGGGGTGCCGCTATCTGCCGCGATGCTGCCGGCGTGCATCTCTAGAATTTGGTCGGCCTGTAGCGCCAGCTTGGCCAAGTCCTCCGTCTCACTTATAACTAGAATGCTTCTGATGTTTTCTGCAAGCTGTTCCAGAAATAAGGAGCGGAGGACGGCCTCGCTGATTTGGCCGCCAGCGAGATTTTTAATGCGCTGAAGATAATGCGACGGCCTTTCGTCGCCCATGTTGCGTCCTCGCAGGAGCCGCCGCAGCTTGGACTCCGCGGATTCATCAAACGCGTTGACGATTTGTGTTTTTACGGCGTCGTACCTTCCGCGGGATGGTGGGGCCGTGAGGACGTCCGCGACGAAAGGCAACACCGTTTGGTCCAGCTGCGTTATGACGTGCCTGTACTTGGTTTCGTCGCTGGTGATACGAGCGAGTTCGAACGCCGCCTCCACCTGTGCAAACCACAGGATGGGGTTTTCCCGCCAATTCCTGTTGGCCAATTCTGGCCGTTTCTGGTCAATCGCTAGCTTCAAACGGTCCAGTTGTTGACAGTAGAGATCCGAATTTAGTATTTGGCTATATGGAAGCAACTCATAATAAATGATTCCTTTCCAGTCCCACCAAATGCACAGCAGAACCTTCCTGGCCGTTAGTCCTGGTTTGGCCACCGTTTGAGCTGCTTCACCGCGCTTTGACCACGATCGTTTTCGCACAATGTTGTCGTATGTGATCCATTTCTCATCCCCAGTCACCATCCGTTTAATCCTTTCACAGTGTGATAAAATTACGAATTCTGGTCCAAAAATGTCTAGTTTTTTCATGTTCGGAAATACTTCGGCCTGTAATAAAAAATGTAAAAAAACGTGTTTTATATGTACCTTGTTAGTAATTAGTCCGTGTATGATAGATTTTAAAACACGGGATACATAAGCCGACGTCACAATCCGGGCAGTAGTATCTTGTTTCCTTCCTCACTTTTTTTCCACTTATTCGTTGCGAACAGCACACTACACAAAGTCTATACGGTTTGGACTTATTGGCAGTTGGCGGAATAATATCAATAAAATGTCTTTCTGTCAATCGGAGCGGCGTGGGAGTAGAGGAAGGTCTACCGCCTTTGCTCGGGCTTGGTACTTCCTTGTGGTATTTTGCTATTGGTTTATCTATCAGTTCAAGTCGAAACTGTAAATGGGTCATAGTTCTGCCTTCCTTTTTATGCAGTATATATGCATTCCATATGGCTTGGTCAAGAAGGTGTATAAAAATTCGTCTGAAAACAACACCTTCTTCCAGTCCTGTACTGTCCAATGGGCATATTTTTCGGCCCAATTTAGTCTCTTCTTCATCATAGGGACAGTCAGGAGTTGTTTTTTCTGCGGCCTTATGGCTTTTCTCCCACCTTCCAAGAGTCTTTTGCGCACCGTAGAGTTGTGAATTTTTACACCAGCCTTTTCTAAATTTTGTTGGAGGTCGTAGCTGGTTTTTCTGGGATGCAATTTGCTGTCTCGCAAAAGAAAAGCTTCATCTCGAGGACTAGTCTTCCGTTTTCTTCCACATTTTCCCTTTCGCTGCACTTCGACGGATCCTGTTTCTCTTTTCCGTTTTATTATTTTATTTACAGCATCCAAAGTGACACAACATTCCTTTGCAATGTTTCTCTGTGTCATTGGTGTATGTTCACTAAGCGTAATGATCTTTTCCCGTTTCCTCGGCGTGATATCCATGATGTCAGACAATTACGACCGACTGAAATGTTATCGCGTATTGGTTCAGAATAACATAAATTCCCAAAAAGCAACGTACGATATACCGCAAGGCATGTGTTTCCGACGCTAATATAATAACGAATATGAGGTTATGTGATTTGCATCAAAACAATTGCCAGAATCGACACAACAGCGTTACCATTATCAGAAAACTGATTTTTGCTCTGTGTTCACATTAATTCGCACAATACTGTAGATATCTTTGGTAGACTAAACAGTTTGAACGCCTTGCCCTGCCCGTGTGTGGCACGAGATAAGCTGAATGGTACGTGACGCTCTGCCCGTGACTGTCACGGGATAAACCGTTTGGTACTTGACGCTCTGCCCGTGACCGTCACGGGATACAATGTCAATGGGTTAACATCAAAAATACCTGAACGGAATCGACGAAACCAAAATTGCACGTAATTGGCTGTTACAGTATCGGCACCATAAACACCATTCACAATTTCAGCCGCCTGGCTTGTATTTTCGCCTTTATCAAAGAAAAACTGTAAAATGTACCGAATTTTCTCTTTGTTGACTTCCATTTTTAACACCCTGTAACTCACAACTGAATGGACCAAACAAAAAACAGGAAAAGAATTTTTTTAGTGCGAAATGTCACCTTTCCAACAAGCATAAATCTGAAATTGTTTGATCGATGCTTTACGAGATATCGATCACTACAGCCATCTATCGAAAAAATAATGGATTTCTTTTTCCCCAACCTAATATAATGTTCGTCCTTGGTAGAAAAGTTTTTCTGCAAGCTGTACAATTTCTTTGCCTGCTAATCCTGTTTCTCTAATACCGTCAGCTGATCTACCAGAGTAAATTTTCATTGCCCATGTATATCCCTCGTTTGAGCATAATTTAAATAATTTGATCCCGTATTTGTGTGCTTTATTTGGTATATATTGTTTGAAGATGAGTCTTCCGCGCCATGGAATGAATATTAACAGTTTCGCAGGCTTCATCATCTACGGCTGTGTAAGCCCTGCCTTTGAGTCGGGTGATTGCCAATTTTGCGAAGGACCTGCCGTTTCTATTTTTATTGTAATGTTGCATGTCTTAGTAAGGTCAAGGCGCTTCATAAAGTTATTACCTGTTACGGTCGAGGGACGCGGAAATTCCCGGACGTCACCCGAGGTTCCCATCGGTACCTGGCGATCCACGATCAATCGTAGGCGGTCACCTTGCTGGTGACTCTAGCAAATGGGGATCCAATGGAAAGATAGCAACCCCTTCCGGGTCTAATTCCAGAAGTTCTCAAAAACCAATCCGCGTTCCTCACCCCCGCCAAAAAATTGTATATAAGATATAAATTAAGCTAAACGAAAACACACAAGTATTATACACCAGTACACTTTCAACAAAAACCACGTTTCTCGGTAAAAATTTGTAATACCGCGCTGCAGCCACACTAATTATAATATTAAATTGAGTGAAGGGGTAACTGTAGTTATATCTCGCATCAAACCCCCAACTATTCAAGCTTCCATTAATTTACTGCTTGAAGCGTATTGAGTAGAGTTTAAAATAAAACAGATAAATACTACGTACGCGCTGAACAGTGGGCAAAGAATTATTATCTTTGCAGGACATCATATGCATAGCTAATTGTTTTCTAAATTCAAGGCTTGATATTTTATTGTTGGTGAGACTATTATGCATTATCCAGGCATTTACGACAGCAGTATTCAAAAAAAGTTGAAATACAAGTTTTTTATACCATTTGACTGATTTACGTAAAGGATTGCAGTATGACGACATTTGATCGGAAACATCTACGTAAGATTTTCCTTCATTGTAATCTATCACAATTTTTGGTTTGACACAATCATACCCCATTTTCCGTATAACGACAGTTTCGTCCGAGTGCTTTGTAGATAATAAAAGGACGTCACGTTTGTCTTTCCATTTTAGTACCGTTAATCCATCCAAACTTTCTTTTGCAATATATTCGTTACGCATTAATTTTTTTGCGACCAAATCTTTTGGAATGCCGCGGCGATTCGACCGCATTGTTCCAATGAGATGAGTGTCTCTTGCAATTAGTTGCCTAGCCAAGTCGATACTTGTGTACCAATTATCGGTACACAGTGTATGACCCTTACCAAATATGTTCTTACACAATGATAAAACTACATTTGTGGGCGTTGTTTTCTCCGTGTCTGATTTTTTCCCGCAATAAATTTGAAAATTGACCGTGTATCCCGGCGCCGAACATAATTTCAATATTTTTATACCGTGTTTGTGTCGTTTTTGCTTTATGTACTGCTTGAAGACGATGCGACCTCGAAAGGGAATGAAAGACTCATCCACGCAAACTAATTCTCCTGGATCATACAGGGTGGGCTATTTAAGATTTGGAATTTGAATCGGTTATAAAAAAAACAACTAATGAATATTTTTTCAAAGTTATGAGTTTATTAGAAAGATTGAACCTTTCCATTTAGGAATGGAAGACAACATCATTCAAATGACTGCCACGGCTAGCCTTACAATACCCCATTCGATCAGTCTAATTTTTCAGTACATTTTCGATTGTTTGGGCCTCTATTTCGTCAATGGCAACTTCGATTTCATGTTTCAAGTTGTCAATCGTCTCTGGATGGTTAGCGTGACACTTGTCCTTAACGGCTCCCCACAAAAAAAAGTCCAACGGAGTCAAATCGCAGCTTCGAGGTGGCCAATTGACATCAGCATTTCGGCTGATTATGCGATTTTCGAAAACAGTGCGCAAAAGATCGATTGTTACGTTGGCTGTGTGGCACGTTGCGCCGTCCTGTTGAAACAAAATGTCGTCTATGTCATCCTCTTCAATTTTGGGAAACAAAAAATCGCTTAGCATGGCGCGGTAGCGATCGCCATTCACTGTAACGGCGTTTCCTTGCTCATTTTCGAAGAAAAATGGCCCAATAATGCCGCCAGATCAAAATCCGCACCAGACGACAGTCACTCGTTGTGGATGCATTGGTTTCTCCACGATGACGTGTACATTTTCTGAGCCCCAGATACGACAATTTTGCTTATTGACGTATCCTCCGAGGTGGAAATGAGCTTCATCTGAAAAGATGATTTTTCGGTAAAAATGCTCATCTTCGATCAAGCGGTCTTCGGCCCATTGAGCAAACCGAAAACGCATCGGATGGTCATGCGGCTTCAGCTCTTGCACTAATTGAACTTTGTACGCATTCATACCGAGATCTTTATGCAAAATTCTTCTCAAAGAAGTGCGTGAAATGTTCAATTCTTGAGAACGATGACGAGTTGATGTTGATGACACTCTGAGCAACAGCAGCGATGTTTTCGGTTGAGCGCACTGGACGAGTACGTACACGGGTTGTTTTATCCAACAACGATCCAGTTTCACGAACTCGCTTCACAAATTGATCCACAAACTGCGTTTTTGGCACATCCTTTTTGTCAAATTTTTTTCGTAAATTTCTTACACTTTGAGTAGAAGACTCACCACTTTGGAAATAAGTTTTTAATATTTCCCAACTTTGTTCAAGCGAAAAGCGACCCATTTCATAAATGTCAAACATAAAACTAACTTTCTGTCACATCGGAAATGTCATCAAACCTTCCAACCTCAAGATAACCTATAGTTCCAATTCCAAACGTTAGATGGCCCACCCTGTAGTACTTCTGAAAATTTTCATTTAGCATGTCAATTATGGCTCTAATTTTGTACAAACGGTCGTTCTGATCTTCATTTTCGTTATCACAGAAATGTAACATTCGCAATAAAAGCTCGAAACGATTCCTTGAAAGAACCGAAGAAGGAAGACTTTGAGCATAAGCTGCATCTTTGGACCAATATAAATGAACTTCGGGAAGTTTTACTATGCCCATCCACATGATGAGCCCAAAAAGTCGTTTTATTTCGGTTTTATCTGTCGGTTTCCATTTGTCTAACCGTGATGACGTTTTCTCAAACAATATCTTTTCCGCATATCGATTAGTTTCTTCAACTATTATTTCGAGGATTCTATCATCCAGTAACAAGGAATAAATGTCTTCTACTTTTTCATAATTACAATTCAATAATTTAAAACCATGTGCATCTACGAAGGGCGTAAGCTGTGGTTGGTTTCCAGTATGATTAAGCCAGTCCGTGGAAGGAGTATTTGTATTATTGTTGACAATAATCGATTCATCTTCTTCGCTTTCACTACTTGATAAAATTATATTGCGACGCACAGGAAGACGATGAAAAGGTATTATGTCGCTTGAGATGTCTGTTGAAAAATCATCAGAACCTATGCGTGTAATCCTATGGCGATTTGCTATAACTTCTGACAGTGGCATATCAGAGTCCTCGCTCCAAAATTGTTCATTGTGCGATGTCATTACTGATCATAAGGGGTAAAAATTATATAGTTATTTTTCTGTAGCACACAAATAAGTATATACTTACTGTACCTATGTTACATATGTATCCTCCGTTTGATTTCACTTTAGAAGCAAAAAACCTCAACTAAATAAACACCAGCTTTGAATCAAACAGCAATTGTTGCTTCAACGACGCGCGAATAAATGACTAAACGATACAAGATGTTTGCAGTTCGACAGAGTTGGCATAAGACAGTCGAAAAGAAATGACTCTCTCGCCGCGTGGGGCGTATACGCCCCACGCTACAATAGACTCTGTATACCATACATAATGTGAAGTTGCCTATATTTGATTCTACAATAAATTTTTAAAGAATTCTTTGTTTTTCAATGAGAATTCCAAATGGCCTGAACGGAAAGTTCATCGTGGGTCGTATACGCCCCACATGTTGGTGTCGGGAAGTCCTTAACCGCGGAGACCTTCTGCGGGCAGGGTTTTACGCCATCCTCCGAGATGACGTGCCCGAGGTATGCTACCTCCTCAACTTCGAGGGCTGGAGTTTCAGGCCCGCGTCGCGCAACCTTGTAGCCAGTTTGTTAAATTTTGTTCTGTGTTCTTGCAATGAGCTTGCATAAATTACTATGTCGTCCAGGTATACAAAAAGTTCCGTACCCTGGAGACCCATTAATACGGCGTCCATAAGACATTGGAAGGTTGCGGGAGCGTTTCTGAGTCCGAACGGCATGCGTGTAAATTCGTAGTGGCCATAGGGGGTGGAAAAAGCTGTTTTTTCGGCGTCAGCCTTCTCCATGCCAATTTGGTGGAACCCACCGGCCAGATCAAACACGCTGAAGTATTTAGCGCTACCGAGTTGATCCAGAATTTCGTTAATACTGGGTAGCGGGTAGGCGTCGTTTACTGATTTTTCGTTCAGCCCACAGTAGTCTATTACCATGCGCCATCGTTTTTGGCCATTCTCGTCGGCCTTTCTGGGTACAATCCACAAGGGTGAGTTATACGGAGATGTTGAAGGGCGTACTATATCATTTTCCAAAAGTTCTTTCAGTTGTTTATTAATTTCAGCCTTGTGGATTAGTGGATATCTATACTGTTTTACGTCTATAGGAGTTGGATCAGAAGTCACGATTTTGTGCTTCACGATATTTGTTCTGGTCACTGAGTCGCCAGGTAAATGAAATATGTCGTAGTTGTGCGATATTAATTCGAGAGTATGAGCGAGTTCCTCTTTGTTGAGGTGGTTCGTTTTTATGAGTTCTAATATTTCTTTCGTTCTTTCCGTAGGAGTACGGGACTTCATCGCGTTTACGCGTGATTCGGCGGATACAGTGGATTTAGTAGATACAGTGGATTCAGCGGATACAGTGGATTTAGCAGATACAGTGGATTCAGTGGATTCAGCGTTATAGATTTCGTTGATTTCTAGTATTTGTATGCTTGGCATGGGGAAGGCTACGGTCTCGGAGGATGTGTTTACACATTTTATGAAAGATGTGCCGTTGTTCTGCCTGATTAGGCAGTCGAGCGTGACGACGCCCGGCGCAAGAGTGAGTCGCGGTACATAGCCGACGGTCGGACCCGTGGTAGTTACCGGAATGCAGACCACGGTACGGCATTCTACGCATACCTCACGCTGATTTTGGGAGAAAAATGGAATCGCGATGTCGTTCCATATGACGCTATTCTTAGTGTAAGAAATAGTGGCTTGATTACGTAAAAATGTGGAGCCCAGGATTCCTTCCACATTTATGGGGAACGAATCCGGGACTACGTGGAATTTAAGAGGCTTTTTATACAGCGTTAGATATGCGGATCCTAAGGTAGAAACCCGCTCGTGAGTTACTCCTCGTATACTTAATTTTTCATACCTGTCAATACGCGTGTCCTCCTTTAAGGCGGATATTTTTACAAGGTTGGGTTCTGCGCCCGTGTCGACCATGAATGGGGTCGGTTTGGTGAGCTCGGGGGCGTTGATGAGGATAAGCGGAGTGAACCATTCCTCTAAATCGATGCGGTGGAGTTGAGCTCCTCTTTCTTCTTCTCCTGTACGTCGATCTTTTTCGTTTCCCTGTTGCCTTCTTTCATTATAGGCTCGCTTGCGGCACTCGTGAACGTCATGCCCAACATTTTTACAGTAGGAGCATGACCGTGGTGGCTCGTTTCTTTGTGGAGCGCGCGGTGGTTCACGATACTCACGTCGAGGAGCCTCGTAAGAGTTACTGTAGCTTCTCGGTGTTTCAGTCGCTTGGCGATACGTCGGCCGTGTCGGCTCTGGTCTTGTCGTTCTCGGCTCTTCACGGTAGTAAGGCCTGGGTGACGTGGAGCGCCATGAATCTCGCTGGGGAGGCGGCGTATACGCCCTCCTTTCTTCCCGTCGTTCGGGCGTCTTGTCTCGCTGGGCGAACTGCACATGGCGTTGCTCCGTGGGTTGCCGTGTATATCGCGTTTTGTCGAGTTCCAGCTGTTTGAAAGCAGAAATTGCTTCATCGAAGACCACGTTGGCGGGCCTGTCCTTCATGGAGCGCAGCTCCATTCGGATTTCCCGTGTTAGACCGTTAATGAAGCTATTAATGGTCAGGCTCTCGATCTCTGACAAATCCGCGCGGTGGCGGTTGCAATTGATGATTGCTTCGCAGAGATCCTTGAGTCTACTGATGTAGTCAAGGATGTGTTCGTTGGCTTTCATATAGTACACTCCCGTCCATAAGTCACCGGACACTTAATTTAATTTGGTTGCGGTCGATTTTTTATTATGAAGAATGAGAAATTCTGGAATAAAAACGGCACTTATTAATTATTTATAATGTAGAGAATACTTAAATCAAATTATATGTCAAAAATTTTACCGAAAGATCTTATATTTTCTTTTCATCAATATATCCGCCGCATGCGGCTATCACCGCTTGGACTAGTCGCGGCATTCTGTCGAGTAATTTTTAAAATTTTTCTGCATCAATTGTGGCCCAACTTTCTTGTAGTAGTTCCCATAAATGTTTTCTTGATTTTGGACTCACTTTTCGCACGTTTCTGTCTATTTCTTCCCATAATTTCTCTATTGGATTGAGATCGGGTGATTGCGGAGGCCATACCATAATTTTCAATTCGTTATTATTTTCCAGGTCTTTTAAATAACTTGTACAGACTTTTGCGGTGTGTTTGGGATCATTGTCCTGCATAAATATGAAATTTTGTCCTATTAGGCGTCTACCAGACGGTACTGCATGGTCACGTAGAATTTGCAAATACTGTTCTTTTTTTAAAATTCCCTCAATTTGCACTAAATCACCAGTTTTATTTGCACCAAAACAACCCCATACCATTATAGACTGACCCCCATGCTTGACAGTTGGAACAATGCAATCGGGAATCAATTTTTCAGTTTGTTTTCTGCGCACATGAACTCGTCGTTTTGTTCCGAACACCTCAAATTTCGACTCATCAGTCCACAACACCTTTTCCCAATCTTCAGCAGTATAATATTTATATAATTTTGTCCACTGCAGTCTTTTTTTCTTATTTTGGGTCTTTAAAAGCGGTTTTTTAACTGCAACACAGCCGCGGAGTCCTGCTTGCAAAAGGCGTCGCTTAACTGTCGTCGTACCAATCGGATCCTCTCGATCTTTGTTAACTTCTGCCGCAATTTCTGTTGCTGTCATCCTCCTGTTTCGTTTACTAATTGTTTGTATATAGCGGTCTTCATGTTCTGTTCTTTTTTTGGGCCGCCCAGTTCGTTTTTTATATTCAAAAGTATCAGTATCCGTTAACTTTTTCATTGTATCATGCACTGTCGATTTCGGAATTTTAGTTTTTGTCGCAATTTGCCGCATGGAATAGCCTTCTTTAGCAAGAGTAATAATACTCGAACGCTTTTGAATGAATAATTCTTTTCTAGAACTACTCATACTGATCACATGCACTGTCCAACTTGAAATAAGGAAGAACCAGCGACTCCACCTTTCCAGCTCCATGCTGATCTCTGTTTAGTCTAGAACTCCACTTAAAGTGTTTATAAACTCTTCAAAATATTCAAGATATATTCCTCTGATAGTCCTGAACATCCCAAGGGAACAATATGTCCCGAAACGTACCGAATGGAAACATTACGAAATTCATGTTTACGCATGCAGTTCCTTTTTTAAAAGTTTATATACAGGGTATTTCACCTAACTTGACCACCTTAAATATATCGCTTATTTTGTACATATGATAGAAAAAATGTTAGGGGGAGAAAAAATTCTGTTCGAAGGCGCCAATTCGGTGATGGGCCAATTTTTTTTTCTCAAGGTCATTTGTTTCGAGATTTCAAGGTCATCGTGTTTTCTTTAAATGGGACTGCATATTTTCACTACAACAGTCTTATAGCTTATAAATAAACGAATCCATCGGGGTGCAATATGTTGACCTTCACTTTACCTTTAGCGAGGAAATTATGAAATGTTTGTCAGTAACTTCAGTACGCGTTCGGGGACGGTAAATGAAGGAATTTCAATTTCATTGAAACAGTCTTAAGTTAAATCTTTATTTTAGAAGGTTTTCAAAATGTGCACCATGAACTTGGATACATTTTTGGAGGCGGTAAATAAATTCTTGCTGTACATTTTTAAGTTGTTCTACAGTAATTGATCTACATTCATGTAGTACCCTTTGTCGCATGTTTGCTGCTGTTGTGGGAACATCGTTGTAAACTTTATTTTTTAGGTGTCCCCACAGAAAGAAATCAAGTGGCGTAAGATCCGGCGATCGAGCTGGCCAGCAAATTCGTGCACCACGTCCTATCCAGCGATCGGGAAAAATTCTGTCTAATACATTGCGTGCGACGAGTGCACTATGAGCTGGACCGCCGTCATGCTGAAACCACATCCCTGACCGATATTGTAACGGAACGTCTTCTAGCAATATGGATAATTCATTTGTTAAAAAATCTGCATATTTTCGACCATTTAATGTTCCTTCGATAAAGAATGGGCCAATAACTCGGTGGTTGATGATACCGCACCAC